CAAGGTCTGACAGAGATGTGATCTTTGCAGCAGTGCACGGTGGGCTCGCTACCATAATGTAGCGGCCACGATGTGGGGATCCCTCCACATATTCAAGCGCGCATACGGATTCCGTCACTACGGAATCAAATGCATCAGCATCTTGACGTGAATTGCGTCGTCTCGGTGATCGTCGTGCTCCTTTCTTGCGTTTTCTTTTGCGTCCCGAGCCCCTGCTCTGGACTGACACGTCGATATCACACGAGAATGATGTACTCGCCTCAAGACGTGGAAGCTCTGTCTCCACCACGTCGGTCTCATGCGGATCCATAGTCCACTCATTCTCGTCAATTAAAGGCGGGAGCTCATCTTCGACCGCCTCACTTGTTTGAGGGAGCCCCTGATCAACCGCCTCGATATTGATCTGAAGACTATGCTCGTCCGATGTGCTTGTACGCGGGAGCCCTTGCTCGACCGCCTCGATATTTATCGGGAACCCCTGTTCGACCAATGTCTGTGTGTGCGGGAACCGCTGTTCAACCTCTCGTTGTGCATCGGGAACCCCTGTTCGACCTATGTCTGTGTATGGGAAAACCGCTGTTCGTCCGCTTCGTTTTGTGGCTCTGTCAGTGTAGCGGAACATATTGCGCACAGAGGGCCATCGCTCTCTCTGTGTTGACTACTAGTCGTGGCGAGTTCGTTCACGACCCTGACGTGAGTTTAATCGTATGACGCGACCAACAAATGAGTAAACACTTCACTGACGTCATAACCGCTTCGTCGTTTGACGGACCGAGATGACCAATCTATCTTCGGATGATACCGTGACAGCCACGGTATCCCAAGTATGCAATCAAATGCATAGTTTATCTCGTACAACAAAAATTCGTCGTTGCTCTGGAAACCGTCGAAAGTGTACGGTAGAATCACTGTTATATGCGGGACGTTTTGTTTGTCCATCGGCAAGTTTGACAACGATGTCACCTGGACCTTCACGAACCGTGACAGTCGACGGGAGATGGAGCAAACAGGATGCGCGAAAGAAGTTGTTGGAAGCGCCAGAATTCAACATGGTCGCGTCACTCCAGCAACGATGAGACTGATAATAACCAATCTTGAATCATTGCGCATGGTGGTGGCATTGAAGTGAGTATGAATCACTTTGGGGCTAGGAGCCCGAGCTGCCACCTGACTACTCGGGGCTCCATTTATGCCAGTATGGCGCCCCATGCCTACTAGAACCGCTCGTTTTTTGGCGGTACCACTGTGGTGAAGTCGATCAAGAAAAGTTTGATCAACGATATCGAAAGTGATCATAATGTGAACCCTTACATGGCGGGAATCATATTCTATGGATTATACTTGGCTATTGTATTGGGGCGATCAAGATTTATCGATGAATGTTCGCATAGTTTATACTTGGCTATTGTATTGGAATGACAGTTTATCTGGATCGATCATGTGATGGCCACGGTTGGCCGAGGATTACGAGGCTGTGATGACGATCAGGGTGGGAGATCGCTCGATCGCAATCTTACTATGCGATCCACATGTTCGTGATGGACATGCAATTACCGATTGTGATCGACAAGTGTGATCATCGATCGTGATCAACAATTGTGGTCGCCGATCTTGATCAACAATTGTGATCGACGACTGTGATCACCAACTGTGATCGACGATCGTGATCAACAAGTGTGATCATCGATCGTGATCAACAATTGTGGTCGCCAATTTTGATCAACAATTGTGGTCGCCGATTGTGATCAACAAGTGTGATTGACGATTGTGATCACCAAGCGTGATCGACGATCACAATCGTCGATCCTGAAAGCCGGTCGCGATATGTAACTAGTTACAGATCGATCGTAACCTCGATCGACGGATCAAGATCGCGATGGTACCGAAGTGGACCACATACCGAGGTCTGATTTTCCTGAAAAGACGACACGTGGCAGCAGTTACTTTCATACAGATAGGCATAATCGTAGGATTTGGTATTTCATTGGCTAAAATTAAACAGAGTTTCTTTTACTCCTAAGCACGCAAGCAGACTTCTCTTCCGGGCGGATTACTTTGACCCCCGACAAGAGCTTCTGCTACGCTACGACAGTGATATCACTGGATGGTTTGGCCAGGGATTACAAGAACTCTCAACCCAAGAAAAAAACCCTGCCGCAGTATACAACGTAAAAGACAAGGCACAAGATCGAGACGGCTTAAGTGGTCAGAAGATCAAGTGAAATTAATTGGATCAAGTATCTACATTTGGATAAGGCGGTCTCAAAGCAAACCAGGGTGACTCGTAGAGAACCTCCCATACAACTTTCGATCGCGTGAGGATTTTTCACGTGATCGACCCCCCCCCCCGACCAATCCCCAACCACGTTCAAGTTCAGCATCGACTCAAGTCCACCGAGAAGAGTGCAGCCCGCCCTAACGACGGGTACACAAGGTGAGGAAGGAAAGTTACACGATTACGGGGTACCCCCTCCGTTAGTCGGTCGTCTGGGCGCCAGTGGAGAGTCGGGATCACATCGTAATTTTTGTAAGTGTCACTCCACCACACTACCGACGACACAGCGTATCCTCGTGAGACAGCTAGGTAATAGTCATTGGCGCAGGTGCTCGACAGACAGCCACAGGATGGCCTGTATTACCACAGCAAAAACACTTTATTGTGTTAGGATTGCGAATGTCGCGGCCTAATAATTTGCCGCGACCACGAGAGGAATCAATTGCATCAATTTCTATTGGCTCTGGGCTAGACTACCAGGGATGTTGTGACGCTGCGTGCAGGTATGACGACGCGACAGTGTAATCCTCACGAAGCGCGAGGGCAAATGCCTCTCGAGAACTTTTAGTTCAGCACGTGTGAGGCAGTAACGCGTCATGCCCTCTTACATACCAAAATAAAGACATCGACTTGTGAAGCCATGTCAATTGGCTGCGTGGTGATGTACGAAGCAAGATGACGTGTCTTCTGCACGTAGTCACGCATCGACAGCTTGCCCTGTTGGAGTGAGAAAAAATCTGCACGCAAGCGAGATTCATCTTGAGGAGGCTCGAAAGCCAGTCGTAAGTCACGCTGGATATCGTCCAGCGTGGGTAACGCCGACTCATCTACGACAAACTTTCCGAGAGCCCATTTCTTGGCTTTGCAAACAAGGCGATACAGCAGGATATTAACTTTGGCCGTCGAAGCGTCAGTTAATCTTGACGCTATCGCAATATCCACCTCACGGAACCAGCAAGTGAGGAAAAGACGATCCGGAACATCACCGGAATACGTTGACGCCTCCATCTTAATATCGTCATGGTGCAAAGTGCACGAGGTAGTTAATACTCGCCGATTCGCTTCGGCGAGCTCGCGCACCATAAAGTCTTGGATGGCGGCGCGTTAACCATCGAACGTCGCTGTGCTCAAAAACGACGTCACAATAGTTTCACCAGACACCGCCGCGAGGCGATGTAGTGTCTGCCACTCCACCGAGGTGAGATGTGGAAATTCAGAATGCTCCAGCGAGACCGCTGGAACCACAGAAGACTCGTCCATATTCATCTCGAATCTGGTCACTGGAAGGACTACGAAGTGCTACCAGGTGTAACGGGCTAAGGACCCGTTACCGTCTTACACTAAAAGGGCGTTGAGGAAGCGCTCTTCATTAACTTGTAAATATAACTCTGCTTTATTTTGGTTTAGTTTTTATTTCGCAGTAAGTGCGATATCTGCGACTATACCATGTCTAGTCTGTAGTCTTCGTCTATCCCGCTTCGCCACATCTGTTAAGATGTCACAACATTAGCCAATTCGGGTGCGGTCGCAACTTACCGGCACAGCGTAAAACCCTTGCCTTCAACACCTTGCAACCTGTCAGAAAACGATCGTTTCTAACATGTCGATCACGCACTGTTTTATCTTTCAGTCATTGGATGAACGAAACCAATTTTTTAGCGTGAGTCAAGTAGTCTGTGCGATACCGGCTGTATTGCCCAATTATCAGTGGTTAAGACTCGGGTTTTGCGTACTTCACTATGTTCTCCAAAAACATTTTTTCGCCATAATTTGTTGCCTTTTGCAGGGACACTAAGAAAAGAAAATGGTCGTTCCATGACCGGCATTTTTTTTCTTTTTTGCAAACAACTTGATTATCTGTTGCTTATAAAAGACAATGCGATATGCATCAATCATCTTGTCCATAAAAAAATCAAGCGTCGGCGACATTTTCCATCAAGTGTGTACAAGCTGATGGAAGTATCTCGCAGCTCTTCCGCGAAAAAAATCTCCAAATCGAGATACCTTATACTCTTTCAGCCAGCGAAAACCGCACGCTCGTTCAGCCACATCAACTCATAATAGGAGTAGCTGACCCCATTGAACAGATCCAGCTCCGAGGCCCTTGTATACTATGGATCCATCGAACGACTCAATATTTATCTTGCCTTCACCTGAATTGGGGACCTTGACATAGTTGTGGTCCAATTCGCCTACATCATGTACTCCCATAGGTCAATCATCAGCACGTAAATTTAGCTGTTCGTGTAGGCGCTCATTCACCTCTTTTTGGCGCCGAAGCTCTTCTCGAAGCTCCTCTGTCTTTTGGTGCAACTCAGCAGCCCCTAGGGTCATCCCGTGCTGAAACTGGTGCTGCATACGCTGACGTTCGATGCGAGGTCCTGTCGATACTTCGCTTAAACCTTCTCTTGCCACGCGCGGGTACTTAGGCCATAAACTTCACTATGCTTAGCAAATATTCTTGATGTTTGTACATTAATTCCAAGTCCCACTTTCGCGTCTGGTCGTGGAGCCTGCCCCATCGACCCAAATCTACCTACATATATATGACGAGATGGCATCACTTGGCCTTCAGTACGGTACTTGCCAGGACCCTGAGGTTCTTTCTCCATCGAGTCCAGGCAAGAAGAAATTCTAGCCAGCTCGGCCGCAATATCGCTGCCTGGTAAAGTTCCCACCCTTAAAACATCCCCTTTGCAATCATACAAGTACTTTTCAGTGACGCCCCTTCGCGAGCATCCCTTGCTCTTCTACCACGTACACGGTCCCTACGTAATCGGGCGTAGCTCCAAACAATTCCTCACTCGCCATTAGGCTCAAAATTATTGATTTTAAAAGTGGGAAGTTTTCAAAAGAAGTTTTTCGAATAGTGAGTTATATTACTAACATTATGTGTGTTTTACCTACCAGCACCCTGATCTGTAGCCGCTCCTTTCTCCTGCACGATGTTAGCACAAGATGTGCTCACATTCCGTCTTTTCTGTCGCCTGCAAACCATAGTATACAAAACAAAAGTTAATTTAAAAAAACGACAGTTTTCTTGATGTCTCGAGACCTGGTAGTATACAAAACATCGTTTTTCAACATCATCAGCTCGGGGGACGCGTGGTGGACGATAAAGTAACGAGTCTGCATATCCGCGTGAGTCCGCTTGCGTTGCGGGTGCCGCGGCAGTAGTTGGAGCTTGAGCTTGTCCGCGCTGATACAGCGACGTCTATCCATATGGCCTTTTCATGAACCATCTTATCCTCTTAGATGCAAATAGAAAATTGTCACTGATTGTTACATATGCATGTAGATGTAACATCCTGTGATTGAATGCAAATATGAAACTGTTATAGAGATTTTATATATGCATTGCTTAACCATCTTTATCTATTCATTACCTATAAACGTGTCATAGTAACCACCGCATGGTCATCAAGTGACATCATATCAGTTCAATATTATGAGGACCACCTCCCAAAATACATTGCCTGACCTTTTCTACTTATTATTTCCTAAGAAACGTCGCATATAAGTGGCCACAGCACGGGCATCAAGTGACGTCACAGTAGCGGCAGAGCTCGTTCGCTATTATGTGGGCTCTTCCTTCTCGGCCTGGTGTGGCTATTACAGGCTCACGAGTGCGCGCAGGCTGTCCAGCTTGTGAGAATCGAACACCTTCGTTAATATATCGGCGACCATCTTGTCCGACCATACATAGCGTAATATACTAATTGCACGTCTCGCTTAACCGCACACAAATTTCCCCCCTTATGTCGATGTGCTTGGTTCTAGAAGGTTATGCCTCGCCTTCGAGATGCTTGATCGTGGCTTGGTTGTCCACTATCAGTTACATCGGGGCCACGATGACCAAGACCCAGTTATAGCAGCAGCACGTACGCCAAGAAGCTCTCGTGCCGCGTCCGAAGCCGCACCAAAATCTGCTTCCATAGTGGACAGCAACACTCCCCCTTTTTTCGCATTCCCAGCTAACAAGCATGCCGTTGAGTACCTCGACGGCTCCAGTCAACGACTTGTGATCCGCTTTATCCGTGGCAACATCCGCGTCGCTCAATGTCTCGAGATTCAACGGAGCACTTATTTTTTGCTCTGCGACCATGTGTAGCTTGAACGTTTTGCTTCCCTCTAGGTACCCAATAATGCGCTTTTCAAGAGCCAAACCGGTAATATATTGATTTTCAAAGGCCAGCTCGCACATGGCCATCGAGTGCATGCTCTTGCATATGTCAAGCGAGGATGGCATTCCATGACCTGACATGAATCGGCATTCACATGCGTTGGTTCCTCAAGAAATTCGCTAACAACTTTCCCGACAAAACAGTCGAATGAATGACTACACTTGGAAGGAAGTGACACGGTCGGCATGGCAGTCAATTTCTGCAGAAAAATATCGATATGCTGCAGCAATTCGAGGTACCGAAATAGGGATGGAGGTACAAAAAAATATTTCGACCACGTACTCACGAGATTGACGGATTAATAAGACAGCTGCGGAGTTTGTGCTGTCCATGACGGATTTTATTGACGAAGTGGTAGCACAAAAGATCGAGAACCCCAAACAATCACCTCTATTGCTGCATTTCTGGAAGCGTCATTACTCGGCGCTTTTCCATTCCGAAAGGACCAGTCAGCTTCCAAATTTTGGAAAGGTAGGGGAAAGATTGGAGACCGATGCAAACGATTTGGCTGCAAAAATTTGCATTGAACTGATGGAAGGTATGAGGCTTGGGCGGAAGAGTGAAGGTAGGCGAAGAGAG